TTACTAAATATATCAAAGAAAACAGCTTGACACTTCTTTGACAGATTTCAGGTCTACAGGATGGATGTAAAAATGCAAAGGAACAAGTAAGAAAAAATACCATTGAGCTTATCTAAACAAAAGGTAGTATTAATATAGCAAGGTTGTAGTTACCAGTCACATGAATTAAGCATTTTTGTTCAAACATTTTCATTTTGACTGATCTTTACGACACGCCACGTCCATTCCTTATGTTAAAGGTTATTCACAGCAACTTCAGACTATAATAAATTATCATTCTTTCCTAGGACGGTATATCACTGTAACCACCTACCCCCTGCAGTTGACCTACTCCCGCAGCCATAGCTTGCATCGAACATGTCTCACCTTAGCTGTCCAGCACCTGTTTTTAACATTTTTAAATATTCTTTTATCCTCTTTTAAACAATCTTTTATTTTACTTTCTTGCGATTTTTGACGGTCAGACATGTCCACGTCCCCATGAGGGTTTAACATTAACGGAAGATAGATAGATAGATAGATAGATAGATAGATAGATAGATAGATAGATAGATAGATAGATAGATAGATAGATGGATAGATGGATAGCTGGATAGATGGATAGATAGATAGATATATAGATAGATAGATAGATAAATAGAAAGATAGTTAGATAGATAGATAGATAATGGATGGATGGATGGATGGATGGATGGATGGATGGATGGATGGATGGATGGATGGATGGATGGATGGATGGATGGATGGATGGATGGATGGATGGATGGATGGATGGATGGATGGATGGATGGATGGATGGATGGATGGATGGATGGATGGATGGATGGATGGATGGATGGATGGATGGATGGATGGATGGATGGATGGATGGATGGATGGATGGATGGATGGATGGATGGATGGATGGATGGATGGATGGATGGATGGATGGATGGATGGATGGATGGATGGATGGATGGATGGATGGATGGATGGATGGATGGATGGATGGATGGATGGATGGATGGATGGATGGATGGATGGATGGATGGATAGATGGATGGATGGATGGATAGATAGATAGATAGATAGATAGATAGATAGATAGATAGATAGATAGATAGATAGATAGATAGATAGATAGATAGATAGATAGATAGATAGATAGATAGATAGATAGATTTTATTGATAGATAGTAGCTAATTTGCAAATTACTTGCACTATCATTTACTTCTCTTTCCTTTTAGCAGTAAGTAAAGTTATTTTGAATAAGTATTTTGACATGTGTCGAACAGAAAAATACTACTGTGTTTACATTTTGATACTTTTATGACAAACATTTTTTATAACCATTATCTTGATATAATACAGGATTACATAAAAGCTCGTGCAAAACTAGGAAAGTCTGATATAAATGTTTAAAGTGATATTTGTAATACTTAAGGCAACATTGATGTGTCTTGTGCAACTATTTTGAGGTAGATCCATAAATTAAACAATTAATGGACACAGGTCAATTAAAGATACCTTTGTGTCTGGCAGAAAACTGACAAAAACATTCATAAAGTCCAGCTTATCATTGACAAAGACTTTCAATTACCAAAATGCCCATATCGCAGGGATAAAAAAGAGTCAGATGAACGCTTGTACGTAAGGCGAATATCAGCCAGATGGAAACGACATTTGCCAACATCTGACCAGAAAAAGAGAGCGAGTTAAATGCTCTTAAAAATTACTAAAACTTGTTTCCTTAATGTGACACTGTCTTTCTAATACTATGACTGTTGAAGAAAGCTGGTTTCACTATTTTATGCCAGTTCGCAAGTGTAATAATAAGAATTGGGCCACCAGATACATAGCCGTCGTACATGTATTGCCAAGCGATTGACAGGATATCTTTATACTTCTTTCGGACGCGTCTTTGAATTTGGTTTCATTTACTGTTGCGTCTGTTATATCTGAAACTCCTTCTACTGTTCCAATTCTATATGTCCATGGCTTACCATGTCCTTTTCATAACTTTTTAGTGTCATCTACCAATGTTTTAGCCGTTTCCTCCATATGTTTCAATTTTTCATCTCCTTCAAGCGGAGTATCTCTTATTTTATATGCTTCACTGACGTTTTTCCTCTTACACTTACATCTTCTGAGATGTCGCATTTGACTCTTCATTCAATCTGGGTTTTTCATGTTTTATTTCTATTTTCACGTAAGTCTTACACAAGTCTCTATGCTTTTATTTTCATTATCTGTATCGATTAAAATATATAATTTTCCTTTTTTGAGTCTTGCTACATTTTTACCAATCAAAGTGCCAATTTCCTAATATATGAAAGTAAGCTTGATGTTTTTTGTCTTGATTTTATATATGTCTTGTCTTGTACATACTCATTCAAATGACAAACCACGTTTTAATACTCAAGTGCTCCCTACTTTGCAAGGGAAGTTTACCTCCATGTTTGAACGGACTATATACTAACTAGTCCAAAATAATTATATAAATGCATGTGAAAATGAAATAAAAAAAGGTCGAGAGAGAGGTCTTTCTTGGAAAAAACAATAACGATCTTATTTCCAAAGATTGCATAAACAGCATGTGTTTTATCTATAGATTTAATTTACAGGTAACAGAGAAAACAATGTTACAGTAAACTCCGCTTATAACGAAGTAATTGGGACATTCAAAATCTGTTCCTTATATCCGAAGTTCCTTGTAAGCATATAGCGAATTAGTTCCCTGTATCAGGAGTTTTTATAGCGAACATATTTACATATAACGAACTGATTGTTTACCATTGTCCTCCATTTTGAAGAGCATTTGATTAAGAAATATTAGTCATATATTCAATACCCGAGAGCGTACTTTTTAGAATTTAAATAATTGCTATATCAGTTTAAGATTTACTCCCTATGTCAATTTCTCATAAAATATAATATTTTGTTTCTAAACTCTTTTCGTTTTCTTTCTATGATTGAGAATAAACAAGATTTTGAATATCTTCTTTTATAATTTAAGGGTGACTTTTACTTATGGAAGATAAAGAGTTCTTTTCATTTAAATCAAGCGTACATTGCAGATTGCAAGCATGCGTGATTATGATGAAAACCGATTATAAATTATCATAATTATTTTACACGAGCACAACTATTGACGAATAGAAATAAATACCCGTTTTATCTTGGGTGAAAAGATCTCATGCTAAAAATATCCTAAATAGAAAACTATACAAATTCATTTTAATAGATGTATTGAAGTACATACAACGATAAACGGTACATTCGGCCGAGTTTTAATCCGTGCATATAAAAACGAAAGTCTATTTACGGATAGCCAATATTTTGGAGTTCGTTATAAAAGTGTAATTTTCTGTACTTTCAACTAGATTGGGACTAAGAAATGAGTTCTTTATAAGCGATAATAAGGGCACAATTCGGACCAAAATAAATTGTTCCCTATAACCGGAAGTTCGCTATAACCGTGTTCGCTATGAGTGAAGTTTACTGTATCACTTTTTTGTAACCAACTGAATCATAATTTGCATCAGATAAAATGAATTAACATACAAAGTCATATTACAGGACAAAAGAAAATGTGTGAAAACTTGCTATATTAATATAACATGAACAAAGTTAAACAATTATTAATGTAAAAATATAAAAAAAACAGCCCCACGATGTTGTGATTGTTCCCCTGATGTTTTTGAAATAGAAGTTCTCCTGAACTACTTCATCAAACAAAAAATATATAAATTTAAAGTTTTTCCAATTCTATGCTTTCGACTGATATTCTAGTCCATTACCTAGGAACTGATCATAGCATCTTAATAAGTCCTCGTGAAGAGGCAAATTATGACATTACTCGTATCAACTTACTGACACGACTCATCAAAATATTGAGACACACATGTCTTGCTTTGATTCATTATGCATTCTTGATTTACAAAACTTTTAAGTTTCACAATAATTACAGCGGCATCAATGATAATGCCAGCACTAATACAAAACTTGGCCTGTTGCAAGTCGGTTTAATCAAAGTAATACTTGTGCTAGTTCTGATTCAGCATATTATAATTGCGGATTATTACAGGTGAATTCCTTACATGATACAAAAGCGATGATAGGACACTATGAATGAGTCAAAAATTAAGTACTTCAAACAAAAATTTCAAGTAACACATGTAATATAATATTCATTTTATATATGCAATGACAAAACATGAATTTGGTTTGCGACTATTTGCGTAACGACCAAAATGAGCACAAAAAGTGTCACTTGTGTAGTTGACGTTGTATTTCCAATCTTCTATCAAGTCAAATGTTCTGAAAGTTTCGTTCAGTTTAAAATAGTTGGTTCCTTTCGGGAAAAAGAACATGTTTATTGACTAAAAACCTCTACAAATAGTTTAGCACTTTTCAATATTTCGATGACAGTTTCAATGTTCCACTATTCGTTATCTTATTTTCAAGTTATGGCTAGTATGAACATGGCGGTGGTGGCGCTGTCGGAACAGAAGTTGGCTGGACATTGTATTGTGTGGGATTCTGTCAAGTGCCGAAAGATAGTGGAGGCGGAGCATACGGTGGGGGATTCGAACCTATGTTATAACCTCCAGTGGTGTAAACTTGTTGTTGAGCGTAAGGAGACTGGCCCTGATAAAACTGGGTTCCTCCGACCGTGTTTGGATAATTGGCATGATTAACTCTCTGATTGTAGCCTTGGGGTTGACAGCATGTGTTTATTGTCATACATGACAGGAATTTAACTGGCAGCAGAAGAACAAATTCCTGATAAAATACATGCTGATAATATGACGTGCGTCTTATGCCCGTCATTGTTTTGATCATCATCATCGTTTACCAGAAAAAATATATTCAACAAAATTCCAGAGAAAGTCATGAAAAACAAAATGAAGCCAAAATTCATTTGTAAACATACCTAAAATAAACGAAAAACATATTAAGAAATTATACACTAGTGACCACTATTTTGTCTAACGCATAGCGTAACGAATGAATCAATTTAAGGTAAGATACCTGTAATGGGTATATTTAGGAACCTGATCAAGCTTATTATTTTATCAAAGTACTCTATTTAACTTATTCAATTGCAACTTTTCAAAGACATTTACCATCAAGTTTTCAAATTATAAGCATTTTTATGTGAATACCCCCTCCCACTAAATTGCCCCCAAAACAGTGGGGGTAGGGGTAAGGAATATATATGAAAAAAAAAATTCTGCAGCTTTTACCTACAATGTAAGTGTTTATTATGTTTCAAGACATATATTATGATAACAAAATAACAATAAACTGTTCACAAAATGTATTGATTTCAGCCAATTGACTAAAACCTCATCCAAGATTTCTGAAACTTAAAAAAAAACACATAAAAATAGATATAAAATAAGAATTATTATTATTATTTTTTTTAATATTTGAATTGGGGCAAGCAAATTACTTCTATAACTTTTATAACTCTTCCATAGCAATCAAAATATGGAAATTTCATGACCTCTTTCCACATTACTTTTTTGACAAAAATGTGTTTTACAAAATGATGTAAAAAAATTTTCCGAAAAAAAAATGTACAGCATAGCTGTTACCTGTCTTACTTATCTCTTGGAAAACAGCAGATTTTGTAAAATATGATTATTTATGTGTTTTTCTAAACAGAGGCTATCTTAATAAATGTACAGTCATTAAAATGAAATCTTCAAATATTGTTTTATAATATTTGTCATGTTCACATTCTCAAAAATTTCATTGCTTAACTTCCAAAATCTAACAGGAAAATTATTGAAATTTATTACAAGAATAACTATTTCATCACAAGAAACTACTTGAATTCATTGCATCCTCTCAGTAAAATATTGAAATAATATTTAAATAATTTCACTTCCAAAATATCAGAACATAATAACACAAAAGCTGATATATAGAGGATATTGAAGGAGTGTTCAATGTTCAATACTGAATTTAGTACTGGCGAGCAAATTATTATTACATTCAACGAATTGAATCAATGCAGTAACGAACCTACATAAATATAATATTCTATGTATCACATGCACAAAATAAAGACTGTTTAAAATAAAAAAAAATAATTCTCCATTGATGCGCCTTAAATGTAACTCTAACATTTATGGTGTCTTTATGTTTGTATAACAGAAATGACATCAGATCTAAATATATGCACAGTCATACAATACCATTTTTATGAAGTCACAACATTGGCACTAGTATATTATAAATTTGCATACATCACATTCTCAAAATCTTGATACTGTTATAGATTTACTTTTAACACGAATATTTTCAACATGAACATTATGATGTCATGATTTGATGACATCAGGAAGTTCCCGATCCAGTTCTGGTTGCTCATAACGGACGAAACTTCCATTTCACAATAAATTTAAATGACCCTATCATGTAAAAAGCAATAAAATGACTAAACAGTCACAGAGTCACAGAATAAACATAAATATTGTTTACCGGTACTTCACATGTTAGATAAAATTATACTAGTATCAATGGGTATGTGTATTCTACTCATTAGCATTAGCTTTTATACTAAAACTCATGGCTATGCCACTAATAAAAATGTTGCATCTGACGTTAACTTTATGAAATACATTTTGATCTTACATGCAAATCCAAGATCATCCCTTGTATTTATTTATTTTATTATCTAAAGATTCATGTACATTTATTAACATTTTCACTATGATAATGTACAGTCATATAACCATCATCAGTGAATTTGTCATATAACCATCATCTGTGAATTTTATGCCAGTTATTCGTTGAGGTTCTACTGCTATTGGCATTGGAGGAATTAAATATTGATTAAATGAAGCAGCAGTCTTTATTTCTTTAGCTGCAATCTGTGTTATATGTGGCATCTGTGAACCTCGAACTGCAATAAATATATTGATATTGTACTATAAAGTGACAAAAGATGTACCCATATAGGCTAGCATATTGTAATGGTGAAAACTGTTACCCTGTCTGCACAATTACTTTATGCATTAGAAAATAAATTATAGGATTACATACTGTTACTCTCCAGAAATTTAGCATGAAATTGGAATAATGATTATTTCAATACTTTACACAGTTTAGAAATGTGACATATAACTTTTATCTTTTTTCTATATTCAAAATCTGGTTTTAGGAAAGCAAATGTCAACTCACTTAGATCTGTAGTTTCCAAATCAAATGTTATAAATGTAGGATTTTCTGTCTTTACTGGCTTGAACTTTCCCTTAGAAACTGCATCTGGTAAGGTCTGTATATCTGGGTCTGTTGTATGACCAATACCTAAAATTGTCACATCATATTATATAGATAGCTTTTATACACAGTGCTTGGAAGTGAAAGGAAAAGCTTGCAAATAATATAAGGTTCTGAAGGGTTTTAAGATCCTTATCCATGACTTAAACATCTAGCACCTTGTATCTTACAGTTATTACCATACAAAATTAAGTATAGCATGTGTATTACTTAGACTTATTATAATGATCACAATGAGAGTCTTATTTTTTTCTGCAGATGAAAAATGCTTCTGAATCTAGTGCTGCATGCAAATAAATGATAAACACACCTTCAAACATAAAAAAACAAGAGCTGTCACAGAAAGTGACAAATGACCCCCAAGGATTCTAGTTATAAACCACCTATATTACATGTTAAGTGTGGTGATAAAAATTGACAAAGTTCGAACCCCAGCAGTGACCTTTAAGTGAGACAAAGAAACCTGTGTCTTGTTCACAACACATAGTTCATCTATGGTGATTTTATATTTTTAAATAAAAATTGAAACTTTAATGTATATGAAAGTTACAGAGCGGACACTGTATATAACATAAACATTGAAAAAGTTTAAACCTCAGCAGTCCCTGTGGTGGAAAATGTTTAACATGAATGATGGCACATGTATTGAAAAGACTATAAATATATTTTATACACTCAGAAGTGGTAAATTATTTTTGGTATTAAGGAGTAAAACAATTTTGACAATAGTCTACAATGGCTTGTTATTTAAATGGCATAAATATTTTTTAGATACATGTACTTAATTCTCAATTAAAGAGATGTAAAAATGTTTTGTGGTTTTGTGGTAACAAGTTAATTACATACTCCATTTCTTTATTTGTAAGCCTCTTCAGCTGACCGTCTCTGTGATTCTGATGAGACAGCTTCTATCACTTCACCAGCCCTTCTCTCCATTTCCTTCAGATTTTCTAGGCTTATCAGCTTAAGATCAAGGGTGGCAAGGAAATTGTTAACTTTGACAGCCCCACCAATGCTGTCAATCATTGCTGTAAATATGACAGGAAAAAAAGCAGTTACAATCATTGTTCAAATTAGATGGTGTATGTGCATAAACCTTAAATGATAATTTTTTAAATACTTAATTACCTTTTAACTGTTGAGTAATGCTTGGAATTTTTATTTTCTAGCACATGAATAACATTTTATAAATATTAAAATCACTGAGTTCACTAACATGAGCCTACTGTCATGTGTGAAGTAGAGTATTCTAAGACATTAAAGCTGCATATCTCCAGTTTAGCTGAAGAGAAAATTAAAATTGAGAGAGAAGTGTTACATATATTGTATTTTTACATTGGAGGTAGCCAGTCGCACAGGCCCGTACTGCTAGCCAAAATTTCTAGCTGTGTGTCACAGATGACTAGCATATATGCACTGTTTAGGCTAGCCGTACAGCATTTTTTCAATGAAAAATAAATGCAATGCTTGCACTTCTTTTTGTTAATACAGTCCAAAGATGTAGTTGTATCATTGTATGACTCTTTGCTACTAAATAATGTTTACTTTGATGATTACGTGATGTTTAATTATATTTGAAAATATGTATTTTGTGACCATGTGCATTTTGTACACGTCTTATATGAATAAACTATCTATCTATCTAGTATCTTATTAAATTTTCAGTCAGTTACTCACATTTCTTTTGACATTTTCAGCCAGTTACTTAATTGCACTTCTTATTATCGATACATTTTCACAAATAATGAACATACATATTTCTATTAATTGATTTTAATGATGTTATTCGGCAATTTATATTATGGCAAGATATCGACAGAATTAAATTTACCTATAATAAAACAGTTTTTTTGTGAACCGGTGTAAATTCTGTGATATTTACAAGTTACAATTATTGAAATGAGCCGTGTCACGACAAAACCAACATAATGGGTTTAAATTGCGACCAGCATGGATCTAGACCGGCCTGCGAATCCGCGCAGTATGATCAGGATCCATGCTGTTGGCTATCAGTTTGTCTACTTTTTAAAGGGGTTGTAAGCGAACAGCATGGATCCTGATCAGACTGTGCGGATGCGCAGGCTGGTCTGGATCCATGCTGGTCGCAAACCCATTATGTTTGGTTTGTCGCGACACGGCTCAAATTACTTTGTCATTATCTAGTGCCTCGGGGCCTGGCTGATTAACATTCTAAAATATCTAAATTTGTTTCAAATAAAAATAATAATTACCAAATCCAAGCTTTGTGTTTATTTCAAAGCAGGAAATCCCCTTCGTTTTGTTGTGGTGTGTTGTTCCATATGAAACCAAATTTACAGCTCCTCACTCTAAATTCGAACACATAACGTACAGATAGCCACCCAAGCCATTTTGCAGCTCCCCCACAATGTTGTCGCTTGTGAGAATAAAGGTCCAAGACGACATTCCTTGCAGTGAGCTAAATTTCTAACTAAATCGTCGAACTCAATCACCCGTCTAGCTTTTCTCCACCCACCTGCCGATCCCTTCTGTCGGTGTTCATAAATTGGACAATTACCAATTCTGCACTTACAAATGCTCAATACGTGAGGGTTATTATGATCCACAAGAATATTAGGTTCTTTTCTCAACTTGCGTTTGTTTTTGGCCTTGTAACGGCCTTTTCTGTCTCTTACTTTCATTTTCACTTCTGCGGATCGTGACGTCATATAGGGGTTTCCCAACCTGGTTTCACAGCAACGGGGTTTTTACGAATTATCCGTTTACAAACAACATATACTTTTTGATAATTTCATTTTCATTTTATCAAAAACTAAATTTCTATTTGTATTGGATATAAATATACGGATAATTTATTCATTTAGAAATAAAAAATAATCTGTTTACGGAAACGGGCGAGAGGTAACGGATGTGCCGATAAGTTACGTAGAAAGCCGACATGGCACGGAAAAACCCGATTCCATTACAGGGATCTTACCTTAATTCATTACTGGATCAGGGGCGTCAGAATGTATTATTTTGACATATTTTAAGACTAATTCAATAAAAACGTTATTCGAACATTGATTTCTATTTTAGTATATGTATTTTATTGATGTAGCAATTTAAAAAGACGTATAATGCAAATCAATTTCAAAAACAAGATTTGAATAACTTGTTCAACATTTGCATTTCGGACAATTTAATGAATATGCTTATAATCAGGGCGGTTGATGACGTTACATTTGATATCAACGCTATGGTAGCTCATGTTCTTCCCCCGATATGCAAGCAGAAATTTGTCACACAATGTTACTACATATTTTTATCAAAAATATTGCTGCATTGAAAATGTCTGCAAGCATAAAGGAAAATTTAAAGACTTGCTATGAAAAGTTATGTATCATTGGGAACAGCAAATGTTTGCATTGAATATTGTATATGCAATATACCAGTATTGTCCAATGTTACTGTAAACAAATTAAGTGTTCATCCACCCTGTATATTTCCATAATTGGCTATAAAAACTGCAAATGATGTCATACAACAAACGCCATTACACTTAAAAATACAACATTTATATCTTACCGTACATTGTAATTCTTTCAGAAGATGCACGACATCGTCACCGTTGTAGAAAGATGCTTTGTAAACGGAAAATATGCCACCAATGGATATACTTCCATTAAAATCGTCACCGTCAATATTCGACACACGTGTTTATCTGCCATTGAGTATTAAAGTTAACATGAAAGCGGCGAGATGAAATGTATTATCTTAGTCACATACCGGTATTTGGACGGGTTTCATATCAGTTCAAAACTTTAAAGTAGCCAGATTTTTTCTTTGTACGTTCGTATCTATCTTTTAAATTAATGTATACTTATCTTATGTGCCAGGCAGCTTTGCTTAGCTTGACTTTACGATATTTCGAAAACTATCGGTCTAATTAAACGGACTTTGGTTGAAAAAAAATGTTTCACGTATGAACAATATGAAGAAATATTATCTGCATACCGCTTTTCCGCAAAATCCACCTATTAAGTAGTTAATTAAATGATATTCTTATTTCGTCACTGCTATTACGGCGCAAACATATATATATAGAAATACTTGTGCTCCAGAAATAAACTTCAATTTTTCAATACTCGTTTCGCGCACAAACTTCTCTAAAATGTAAAAGGAAAAAAAGCTTTTTAGAGAAAAAAAAACATTGGATACACGTTCATAAGGCATTTGAATTTCAGAGACATTTGTTATGGTTAAATATATGTATACACATTCGAAACAAACATATGTTAGTGGAGCTAGTCTTAAATTCCATTTCAGAAAGGTGTCGATGACTAATATTTAATATTTAAGACCATTTGTTTCTAAAAGTTATTTGAATCCTGTTCAGCGCATTGAATTTTCTAATATTTGTTACTATCCAGCTAAATGAAGGGGAATCGCTGGTTCTATATATATGCTAATGATGCAAGATACATTCTTATTGAAACCGGTAGGAGAGAAATGAAAGACTGCCAAAAATGTGAATAAGACTGAGACATTTTACGAAGATGAATATTGAGATGATGTGTAGAGCACCGTTTAGGACTACCTCAAGTCAAGGTCAGAATCAAACTGACTCCTTATACAAGTGTATATATTACAAATGTATGAATTAATTAATATGGTTCGTTCCAAAATGTAAAATACTTTATAACTTTATAAACTTTAGTCGGGGGGTTGCGTCCTGTGAACTTTTCCTTTGCCTTGTTGATCTATATTCTTGTTTTTTATATTAACTTTATATTTTTAGATTTTTTCCTGTTAAGATATAATAATTGAAGAGTTTTTAAAGGTTTATATCATTTAATTATTTTGAAATGAGACAACCTTATTAATTGAAACTGCTAAAGATATATAAATTCACTTAATAACAATAAGTCGCAAATGAGGCATATAGAATGTTAATTTTTTAAGGTAATTTATCTTAACTGTGGGCATGAATACTGTAATGCTATATTGTAGGGCAGTATCTCTCTTATTGAATGACTAATACACATATATGTGCATTGGAAGAAATACCAATAGAATATGTTTAGCCCACTGCGTTTTTGAATTGCACACTTTGTTGACACTACAAAATTTATTTAATCATGTTTCTGGGGTAAAAATTGGTCCTGCCCCAGGGATCACATGGATAGAAAAACCTTTTTATCATATATGTGTTCTTTTGTAAAGTTCTCAGTTATTTGGCATATCATTACATAGAGGAACCCTACAATTGTTACAAAAATCAATTCACTGATATTAATAAAATGGCTATGCCAAGTGAGTTGGTAGGAGGAGGATTGGTAGGTCTGGCACATTTTACATGTACACATATTTATACAGTGAAAATGTTTTCAAAGATGCAGAGCATATATTTTATTAAGCATATATCATCACTTTGTAAAAGTAGAATAATCAGTTTTGTAGTGGATGTTTATGTGAGCACTGATGTTATAAGAAGAAAATTATTTGCAAGCATAGCATTTTGATTTATTTATTTAATTAATATTTTGTGCTTTTGAATTTCTTGTATAATATTATTCATATGTTTCTTTGAATTTTTATCTTTTAAAACCAACATTACTGTTGTTTTTAGTTAGTAAATAGATGTACTCCGTGACATTTGCATGGATATAAATTGTCACCACTCTTTTTAAGGGCATGACTGATGACATGCCTTGCGTCTGTAATCCACAGCGGAAAGCTGCCGCATATATAATTAACATTACACCACCTGTCAATCAAGCTGGCAGGGGTCTTACGTGAATCTTACGTGAGGGATGTTGCATTTATTCATTATCCCTCATGTACAGACTCAATCAAACCGAGTCTGCAATTCTTATGTTATTTTGTTGTGATTAATGCTTCCGTGGGATCACTATGTTTCCAGAATCGTTCCAGTCCACGATCGTTATCAGTTTCACGCTCAGATGTCTGCAAAATCCGCCATTTTCCTTAGACAGGCTATTTGTATAAGACAATGGTACAGCAGTATTTATATTGAAATTATTTTGATTTTTTGTCAATTTAAAGCTATTAAATCGGTATATAAAGGTTACCAACTATCCTGACATATTGACAGATGGAGTCAGTTAGTTCATTTATAAATAAAAATACCAGTTACTTTGTATTTATGAAGATAATAAGTTATATAGCAGGTACAAAAGCAGAGACAGAGATATTATCTAGATGTTATCTACGTCTCTGACGAAAGTTAAAATAGAGAGAAATAAAGAATCCCTAAAGAACGTACAAAACGACAAAATTGAAAATGTTGCAGGCTCGGCTTGATTGAGCCAGTTCATGGACGGTAATGGAATATGCAAATAACCGTCCACGCCCCCTAGCACCAGTTAAGCAGTATTCAACATTTAACATGACCTGGTAAAATTTGGAATTTTGAAACATCGCAGATGTTTCATATGGCGGTTATCATGGAACCTTCAATGTGACACGTTAGTTCCATTCCATGAAAAGCGGCATATGGTCCCCAAGTAAAAAAATGCGTTTGCCCTAAACGAGTAAACAATGGGCGGAACTAAATAAAATGGAATTTTGAATGGGGATCAGAGGTTATGAAGCCTGGCTATACCACAATGCATTAAACAAGAGAAAAGTTTAAACAAATACTCTATTCCTTCCTTTATTACAATTATGTCAATTCATAATCACATAATATATTATAAGGTCTGATATGACATTTTTGTTCGTTCTTAACATAGTGTCAATAAGATTTTGCAGTAGAAAAAGTAACTTGCAAATAAAATAAGAGAATATGCAATGAATATTTAATGTGAAATTATCCTACCTAAAAATTTCTATGAAAGCTCAATGAATAAAGATTAAATATTTAGAAACATCTGCTTAAATTACATCATATCTGAATACGGTTTTAATTTAAACCCGAGGTCTCATCGTCTGGTGTATGCGAAACTTATTTTGCAGTGAATTATATTGCGTTTCATCACAAAATATATCTAATTTGCATTATGATTATATACCATACTACAAAGTTACGCAAGGGCAATGCTCTCGATCAATTTTAACAATTTATGCACAAATGCATTATATATAAGTGATTTCGCACATAAAACCCTAAAAACATTTGTAAATGTTACTCTGTTATTTATATAATTTTACTTTTTATATGTTCCGCTTCTTCAATTTTAACTTTATCTTTGAATTTGTAAACTGAAATGATATTTTGTCGAGAAATAACACAAGAATTTTGCCAAACGTTTCATTCATAATTAATGCATGAATGCAGTTATTTGTTACTTTTTTAAATACCATAATACGTTGAACTATTCAAGAAAAGCATTAAAAGTTTATATATACCAATTTATATAAGGTAAACTTATTAGTCACTTCAGTGGCATAATAGTTTCCTAAAAACGTCGGTACCGTGTTTTGTCTAAGGTTCTGAATGACCGGGTCACGTGAATCAGTGGGCGGAGCAATCTCTTCTCTGGCGTAATGTCAATTGTCACTATAAATATTCATGTGACAAGAGCATAGCTTTTTGGCATGTATCAATATAGATCTAAATATTGCTAATTGAAATACAAATAGGTTTTGGACAAATGTTATAAATGGGTATCCTCTTTGTTTAAACATTATTTTAACTTTATATTGTATTTACTTAACACAAATTTGCATTCGGGCGTATATTGCCACTCTTTAGCGATGCTCTTGTTTAGAATTTCGAGTCTAGATGTAAAACATTTAGGGACAAAGTTTGCTAAGCATTAATAGTATCAACACTTAACATCATATATACAAACTTTTCTGACATTTTTAGAGTTTTAAAGTTTGATAACTCTACAGATATATAAGAAATTAATAACTAGACAGATATATAAGAAATTCATAAAGTTCTTTCAAAAACATAAAGATTACATCACAACATAAAGTGTTCCTCTTTTTCAATATCTTGTAATACACAACATTTACGGGTATTTTCGGT